TCTGATCCCTTGACCCCACTCCAAGGTCGTTTAGTGGCAGCAATTACTGAGTGTATCTTAAAGGAGGAGGCTTCTGTGGTCGTTAGTGTGGACCGTCCCCCGGCCGATTCCCCGGGGGGAGAGACAGAGTGTGTGTGTGTGTGTGTGTGTGTGTGTGTGTGAGGGGCTGAGAGCCAGCCCTTAAGCCTGTGGCGTCCTAAGAGGACTCGACTGAAGACGAGGAGGATGGTGGTGAAGGACTGGAGTCAGTGAGGAGACTGAAGGTGATCTGACTCTGAGGAGATGAATGTTTAGATTCTCCTCCACACTGACACGTTGACGTCAGCTGATCTAATGTATGATAACTGGTAACTGGAAAACCTTACAGTCAAGTTATCTACACGCTCCACGAGTCTGTCGTCAAAGAAGATTCAACGTACGTTTACCTTCAGACGAGTCGATGAGTTTAAAGGGGCGGTACGTTGAGCACGGGCGCCGAGAGCAGCTAATACTAAGATGAAAAGGACAGGAAGTGGCTGCGGCTAGTTTTGAACTCTGACGTTAATTTGAAAATCTATTATCATAACCTTTAACTTTCTGTCAATTCAGTTTCCTTTAATGATCAAACTCTTCCTGGGTGAGATGGATCTTAGGGCGTACTGTCCCTGCCCCCGGACTAACCGGGCTGAGCCGGTTACCTCTGTATATCTTCACCTGATTATGAAGCGTGCTCACTCTACGACCGGTGGACTTAAAAAAAAAATGGACACGTGTTGGAGTCGGCGTCTGTACATCAGAGAACAACACAGAGAACATGACAGAGACTTTACTGACTTTGTGTCTTATTGTGAGTCATGTTAGTCAGATACAGGAGCAGCATAGCAGCATCCTGATACCTCCTCCTCATCATCATCTATAAGGAGCAGCATCCTGACACCTCCTCCTCCTCATCTATAAGGAGCAGCATCCTGACACCTCCTCCTCCTCATCTATAAGGAGCAGCATCCTGACACCTCCTCCTCCTCATCTATAAGGAGCAGCATCCTGAAACCTCCTCCTCCTCATCTATAAGGAGCAACATCCTGATACCTCCTCATCATCGTCTATAAGGAGCAGCATCCTGACACCTCCTCTTCATCTATAAGGAGCAGCATCCTGACACCTCCTCCTCCTCCTCATCTTTAAGGAGCACCAGTCTGACACCTCCTCTCCTCAGAGCTTCTCCTTCTGCTCTCAGGCTAATTAGACGAGTGACAGCATTGGCACTGATTGGCATTATAAAGCTGCACCATCACTGCTCACCGGTTCGGACCCCTCCTCCCCCCTTGCCTCCCACCTCCTCCCCCATCTCTGTGTCTGTTCAAAGTTTACATCAGAGGAATTATTTAAGATAAAAGACAAAAAGAGTCTCCTCCGACACAGATTAACTTCACACATCTTTATGGAGAGAAGAGTTCACACTTCCTCTCTCTGACTCCCCCTCTTCTCCCCCTCTCCTCTCTGACTTCCCCTTTCTAACTCCCCCTCTCCTCTCTGACTCCCCCTCTACCTCAACCTATACTCTCTTACTCCCTCTCTACCTCCCACTCTTCTCCTCCTCTCTGACTCCCCCTCTCTGCCACCTCCTCTCTGCCTTTATTCTCCCTCTATCCTCCTTCTCTCCCTTTACCTCCCCCTTCCTCTCTGTCTCCTCTCTTCTCTACCTCCTTCTCACCTCTTAACCTCACCCTCTCCTCTCACCCCCGGTTCGCCTCCCCCTCTCTGCCCCCTTTATCCACTCTGCCTCCCCCCCTGTCTTATCTACCTCCCCTATCTTCTCTCAGTCTCCCCCTCTGTGCCTCCTAGTGGAGGAGAGAGAGAGAGAGGAGGAGCAGAGGAGTGAGTGAGCTCTGTCACTGCTAAGTCTGGCTGCACTACAAAGGTTAGCAGATCTGACTGTCAATAGTGTCTTGTGGGTGGGAGGGGGGAGGAGGGGGAAGCAGGAGGTGAGGTGGGGGGGGGGGGGGGGGGGGCTGGTCGCTTTGAGAGAAAGAGATACTTTGATATTTCGGAATGTTAGAAGGGTGAATGTGGAGAAGTGGAGGTTGGGGATCTAATTACCGGGCCATAATTGGGGGCTGGGGAATAGGTTGCCGTCCTCTCAACTCGCTGCAGATCAATTATGTTAAGAGAACATCTGTAAGTAGAGCTTAATGAGGTCCATTAGAGCAACATGCGCTGCCTTCCCTAACGCTGCTTGTCAGCTTCTTGGATGAGCTGGAGTGTGCTGCTGACTGGGGACCTGCTGGAGGGGCTTAAATAGAAGAGGAGGCTCCACTCCGCAGCGCTTTCCTCCGCCGGAGAACATAACAGACACACCGGAGCACCACACGGACAGGAGAGGAGCGGACAAGGGAGGAGACAGGTACACAGAGACAGAGACAGAGGGACAGGAAGAGGAGAAGAGGAGGGACGCCTTGTGAAGCTGGATCGGGACGCTTTCATCGATCACACATCCTAAAACTTGATCCCAACTGTTCTCCAACTCGCGCCGCAGAGTTTCCTCCCGCTCAGCTGGACTTTAGAGACTTTCCTTGAGGACATTTCGCATCCAGAAGAGGACACACTCGGCGGGGTTCTGATCTGCGCACTTCTGGCTCTACTTCAAGGTTTGTTCTTTTCTTATTTTGTTGCTGAACGCGGAGTGACAGCTTCACGTACAGAGCGCGGAGCAGACAGTCGAGCGCGACGCTGCCATGTGTGTGTGTGTGTGTGTGCGTGTGTGTGTGTGTGTGTGTGTGTGTGTGTGTGTGTGTGTGAGAGAGAGAGGGTAGGGTGAGTGTGGGTTTTATGATGCAGCTCCTCGCTCATGTCTCCATCATGGAGCAGAGGTTTAGGGTCATGTAAGCAGCCTCTCTGCTGTGTGGCGCGTGCCTCCGATGCATGGCTCGCTCCTCTCCTCGTGTCCTCCGTCCTCCCCTCTTAGGGTGGAGGGGGGAGGAAGGTGAGAAAGTGTCGGAGAGCTGACTGAAGGCAGGGCGAGGGGAGGTGGCAGCCTCCCTCACTCTGCAGTAAATTGCGTGATTACGGAGATAGCGCGCTGAAATAATTCAATCCATGACAAAAGCTAATTAGAGTCAGGTAATACCTGTCAGCTTTAATGCAGCTCATCACTCAGCGCGGCGCGAGCTCCGTTTATGACCCATCTCATTATCACCGCGCTTTGGGCTCGAGCCGCATGCCAACTATTGACTCGTGTCTCCTCCTCCCCTTGCCTCACCCTCCCTCATCATGCCTCCCCCTCTACCCCTGCCTCCTCCTCTCTCACCCTATCTCACTCTATAGGAATATTTAAGAGAATAACTTGTCAGTCAGAGAGTGGGGACACGGGTGGAGGGCGGGGCTATGTGTGGGTATGTGTGTGTGTGTGTGTGTGTGTGTGTGTGGGGGGGGGGGGTCCATCCTTTAATTACAGGAGTGATTAATATAAAGAGAGAAAGAGATGATCACAGGATACATGCGTGAGTGTAACTGCTGCTTTGGCGTGGCGTGTCAATGTGTGCGAATGGGATTAGTTACTTCTTTTGGTCACTTTACTCAGCGGCCTCTACCATCAGTGTGTGATTGTGTATGAATGGATGAGTTAATACTGATGGACTCTACGCAGCGGCCTCTACCATCAGCGAGTGAATGGATGAGTTAATACTGATGGACTCTACGCAGCGGCCTCTACCATCAGCGAGTGAATGGATGAGTTAATACTGATGGACTCTTTACACAGCGGCCTCTACCATCAGTGTGTGAATGGATGAGTTGATACTGATGGACTCTAC